GCCCTTCTGCGGGGTAACAAATAGCTTCACAAATAACTTATTATGTGAACGGGAGAAACAGCATCTACTTGAACACTGGAGAGCCCAAACAGGCCAGCGACAGTCAAAAAGATTCATTGATCCTGAACACATCAAAGTTGATGCTATCATCAACCTTAGCAGAAATGATATCAAAATCTACACTGAACTTCTTACAGGACACTGTAGACTTAATCACCACATGAAGATTATAGGTGCGGTAGAAAGTGATTCCTGTCGACTCTGTCATGAGGAGAAGGAAACATCAGAACATGTTCTATGCAACTGCCCGGCGGTGGCAAGACGTAGACTCGATTACCTTGGTAGCGGGATCCTGGTCCCAAATCAAATAGCTAAAATTAAGCCCACTGCAATTATAAGATTTATAAATAGTCTAATTGTCCTAGTTGGGCCTATAGGTGCACAATAGATCTTTTAGGTCGGGGTGCACAAATAGCCTATTCAAATAATAATAATAATAATAAATAAAGCATTGTTTCTACTTAAATGGAATGGCCACCACTGTGTTCGGGTATTGTAAATAGGCAATATACTAAGTGCATGGCTTTCTAAGTACTTAAATGCTCATGAAGCCATGACATTGATGAAGCTCCAGTTAGTTGATAACTGAAAGTTTCGACACCAAAGAAAGTTCCAAATTCAATTATAAAATTACTAAATATTATGTAAATAATGTTAGAAATTGTAAAACCCGGTAGAGTCTAAAATGCATTTAGTTTAAGATCTCACTGTACTGCAAGCGGTACATACTATATAGGTTTTTCTAGTTCTACGAAAATTTAACTAATGAATGAAGGATTCTTAATTTAACTTACACCAATTTTGTATTTTTCAAAATATGAGATAAAAGGTTTCAACATAAAAACTCTGTAGAAGGGCCTGTCGTTACATAGTTTTTATTCAGAAACTACATGGAATCGATCATTTAAAAAGCATGTTTAAAAAGAAGTGTCGAAATGGTTTTTGTTACTAATTTGACAGCACTATTTTCTTTTTTCATACAGAATTAAAGTATTACTTTTCTTATTTAGCAATTACACTATAAATCGTAAAGCACAACATATCATATTACAGAACTACAATGCAGTAGATGTAACCTATCTGCCACATAGATTTTTCCATGTTCTGTATGAGCTGGCGTGCTAGTTTCTTTCGAGGGTGAAAGTGTTTGTCAGTTAGATAAAAATATCGAATAGAGCATTTTTAGAGTGGCGTCTTCCAACTGATCGACTGATGTAATCTGAAAAAATAATTTGCTGAAAAAAGAATCTGAAAAAAGAATTTGCTGAAAAAAGAATCTGAAAAAAGAATTTGCTAAAAAAAGAATCTGAAAACAGAAGATTTCAAATAGTACTAGACCCTACCAGTACAGGTTTAAGTATCTTCTCAACTAATCGGAAACTTCAAAATTCAATACTTCAAGTAATTCATGGATACACAATCTCAGAAGAGAATACATAACTAATTCGTGAGCCAAGTAAGTCATGTATATATAAGAACAGTACAGAATATATTGGCCATAGCACCCAAACACAAATGTTTAGCAAGTGTATTTAAGAAGTAAAATATGGAAGAACAAAAAACTTAATCGACTTAAGTAGTTAGCGATGCGTTCAATTACATTTGGATTAACCCTATCCCATCATCACTGTCAGTTTACACTCTCCAAACAGTAAGGTATCAACAAGTTTTTAAATGATCAAGTAAATATCATGAAACAAGAGATCCACTCATTGTCGTTGAGAGCATAAAATAAATAGATGAAGTATATGCATTAAATTTTATGGAATTCCTAAATCATTCTGATCAAACTGTTGCTTTTAATTAAAAAATAATTAATTAAACTCAATTTTCTCAATTACTCGTTTACGTATTTAAATGCAATCGACTTCTTAAATTCAATTATTGTTTCATTTGTATTTTTTTTTTTTTATAAAACACTTGAGGATTAAAGGAAAAATAAATTTGTCTAGAATTTCGTAAATTAATATGAAACATTCAATAAAGTGTAACCAATCAATTTGTAGACATATTGCAATCAACATCATTAATCAAAAATGGTAAGGCAGCCAAATTTTTGCTACGCGTAGAAAAAAGGATGAAGGATACGTTCTGATAAGTTATTTGCTGCTTAATGAAAAATGATGTGTTTCATAATTTAATGAAACAATCTCATATCGACATAGACATAGTATATTATATTGTATAAAAACTTATAAAAAATTTAAAATTTTTTTTCGCTTTATATATAATATAAATCTAGACTATTTGAAGTAAAATATACTTTATGCAGCTATAGCTTTTTTATTTTATAAGTAAAATTCTATTTAGGTAATTTATGTATATATATCAGCTTTATTTTTAAAATATAAATTTCTGTGAATGCAAATGAGATAAATGTACATTCATTATTATACCTGCCATAAAGAATTTATTAGTCATTTTCAACTGCATTGAAAAATAATATCGTACCACAATATCCTTCCTGTGTTGTAATCGGAATAACTGTACTAGTTTGTTGTTGTTTTGTATCTTGTCGTAGGTGAGCTTAATAATTACATATTTCTTAAGTTATTTAAATACCACGTACATCTTAGCAATTTACTATTTCATTAGATTCTGGATGTTTCTGTCTCATTTCGATTCATTCCAATCCAATATCCTGCAATGCTTAGTATGTTGGTGCTATGCAAACTGGAAAGCAATAACTGTATATTTAGAAATAGCTTTATATGATATATATGAGTTATAGACTTAGCATATAAACTTCAACGTATAATAAAAATGATCATTTCCTAAGATTTGATTATATGGACATAAAGCAATAACTGCATAAGTGAGTTTTGTTCCAAGATATATTACTATAGCATACTAAAGTGCAACATACTAAAGTGCATATTTTGAACTGTATTCTAAATTAAAGATTCATCTTACCTGTATTTAAGTTTCGTTTATATCGTCACTTGAAGGATCAAGTTCAAGCCCATCATTTATATTAGAGGCATCATCACATGATTCTTCCGACGGGTCGAGTAACATTGTTGCGGATAGTGTAGGCGAAGCTAATGTAGTTTGAGATTTCCTCATTTCTGGTTCCAATAATGGAGGATTCAGTGTTTCGGCTTCATCAGGATACATTTCGTCCGGCAAAATCATATAAGAAATCATCGTTTCAGTATCTTTCTCTGAAGAGGAACTTGCCTCCGAACCCATATCCGTAAATTTTTCCTTAAAAACTTTACCATTAACATTTAATTTGTTGTCATTTGACTTCCATTGCAGAATAAACTTAAAAAACTTTATGATTTCCCCTTTGTATCGATACAACACCAACAGTATATTGAAAAATAAATAACAACCAGAAACGTATGTATATTTTAACCATAACTCGTCACCCCTAACCTCGGTTTTGAGTTCATCGATGGCATGCTTTATGCTTGCAAAAAACGGCCATCTTTTGTGTTCAACAAAGAATTTCATGGCGTTTAAATCATTGTAACCGGGACAAACGTGATAAACTCCTTTTATGACATGGTAGACAACAGGAAACTTCCTAGCGTGCAAATTGAAACGTAATATCGGGTTTCTTGAAATATCGATACTAGCAACGCTCAAACCTTTTTCACCCATCACTGAAGCAACTTCGGTCCAAACACTCCCGTACTCTGTGTAACGATCGGCGGTTCCATTGTGATAGTCTACGATCCACTCACCATCCAGAAGCATGTGCCAGTTGGTATCGATGTACTGTTTTAATTCGGCACTTTGTGAATTTTGCAGATATTTGACTCGTAAATATTCTTGCAATGTCAAGACACAAATAAAGGTGAACAGCAAGCAGGCATTAATAATTTTAAGTCTCGTGATATTCATTTTCAAATCAACTAATTACTTTTTACTAGATTTTATTTAATTTCATTAATTTTGAAGACTTTTACATAATTTTTGTGGTTGGTATTACTAGTGAGTTGAAATGAATTTTGGAAATTTGCTTCTATTGTATATAAGATATATAAGATATAAAAAAATTTTTATTATGATTTAACATAAAGGTTTTTTAATTTTTAAAAATGACAACTGGCTAATGTGATCTCAAAAAATACTATTCTGTAATTATCTTAATTATTTAAGAAAGTAAGTCTATAGATACAAATTTGAGTCTGTTACACACTTTAGCCAGTCTCCTATCAATACTAGGTTATTTGTTATGCAGATGTCTCTTTCTTATTGATTTAAAATTTTTCGATATAAGTAAATTACATCACTTTCACAATTTTCTTCGAAAATTTTATAAGGAACCCCGAAGAAAAGTTTTTTTTGGCTAGACTAGGTATCTACATTATAAGTAATAGCTTGATAATTCTTCTCTATATTTTTTATACATTTTCAAGAAACCTATAGTCTTTGTTTCTTCCTACTAAAAAGCACCTGATTAGAAGACACAGATACTATCTATTGTGCGCCTACTGTTAGCTTTCTAAATCTAAATGACATATGACAAAAACCAACCAGATTTTTTTTATTTTGATGTAACCTACTTTATGAGATATCTGTCAAATCTGCTGTCAAAAACCAGAGGATGGGTTTTGTTTTGGATGATAATCTTTGCAAGATTCCTTTGAAAATAAAAAATGTTACATTTTTTCAGGCACTAAAGCAGTTACTCTTCCAAGCAAAGAGAATATCATATATAAAACTTTTGCTTAATAGGGCAGTTTTAAGGATTCTAGCTGACTACAGATCACTACAACCTGAGATACTTGTATTACTTTATTAAGTCTTGGCTTTTCGATAGTTATGTCCATAAATTTTTGTGAAATGAACATTGAAAATTTAGAGCAAAATTCTGTGGATCTCTTGTTTTAGGCAGTTAAAGAAGCCCATCTTCACTTTTCATATTTCATATTTTTTAGCACCCTTGAGATCAGTAAATGTTCTATATAGAATGCGGTGCACCTTCAAAAAGTTTTTTAAAGTTTTGTTTTAAATGTTTGTGATATGAAATAAATTTTAACTGTTTAGTTATTTACTAATGATTCTGTGGGCATAACTCATAGATTCTTCTGATTCGTTGGTTTAGTTACCTAAACTCAAACAATGAAAGATAGAAAATGAGATGAGCGAACTTGGTTTTTTTTTTGTCTCAGTATCATATGTGCAATAAAATTCTGCAGTTTTGGCGTTTTGGTACTACTTTTAATAATCCCACCGCTTTCTATTCTTATCGAGAAAGGGGCGTTTTCTAAAGCCTTGATTTCTCCAGCCTGTTACGATTCCATTAAATATATTAAATGATTGACTTAACCTCTTTAAAAAGCTATCGATATTATGTTTTGTACTATTATAAAATGTCTCAAGGCATGAAATATGCTATCAGTTTGTCTTTAACCTTTCCGATGACTCACAAAAATTCAATTAAGTAGGGTCATTATGAGATAAAATTTACAGACGATTGACTTAATATTGAAGCGTATCATCAAGTGAAATGATTTCTTATCCCAACGAGTGGAATACTAAGTAAGATACTTTCACTAAGTAGTGAAAACTTAACTACTCTGACTGGGTAATATACCTGTTACTGCAGTCGTGTGATATAATTTGAATGAGTTAGAGGTATCTGATGCTAATGTCTGTCGTTTTTATGAAATGGACGGGGGACTCTATAAGCACATTATTTGTCAATGTCCAGCTATCGGCAGATATCGCTTACTTATGGAATAATAAATTCCAAACTGCGCTAAAGTTTGTAGAAAACGTAAATATACATGGTTAAGGATCAAGGGTATGCATAATCGATCTTTTTAGTTCGCTATTTATGCTGGTCTTCAGTAATAATAATACTTTCGTATACAGCTCTTAATTTTTTTTATTACTTTACCACTTAAATTTTATTTAATTAGTGAAATTTTATACTCCTTTATTTCTATTTAATGGTTTCTCTTGTTTAGTAGGCAAAACCTTAAAATTAAGGCTGTTAACAAAAGGATTAATATTTTTATTATGCACCTATTAAGAAAATGATGCCTATTCCATTGGCAATAATACTAATGAAAATATCATGATATATACGTATCCTTAATATGAATATGTACAAAGTACAAAGAACCTAGAAGAAGAAGAATTTTATTTTAAAATTAGTAGTAAAATACAAATTAGATATATTAAAAGGAAACAACGTTAAGTACACTTCATGCAGTATTTGAAATTATGTATCATTCTGCATTGTTGGTAGGATACAATTGAAAAGGTTTCATTCCTGTAGTCGGAGTCAACTGTTAATATGTACGGTAGTATCAAATCATCATCTAACTAATCATCATTATAAAGCCAAGTGAAGTGAATCTTCCAACATCAACTGAAGGCAATAGCAAAGGCAATAGCAATGGTAGAGGCAATAGCTATAGTAGAGGCAATAGCACTGGTAGTGGCAATAGCAATGGTAGAGGCAATAGGAATAGCAATGGTAAAGGCAAAGGCAATATGTAAAATATTTTAAATGAGAAATGCCGCAATGCTTTCTGCACGTTTTGTCTACGCGAGTAATTAACTTTAATTGCGACCATTAAAATAAATTGGCAGATACCTTTAAATATTATTATTGTATATTTGTAGAGCATACTCACCCGCAAAGGCGCTTCAATAATATGGAGGACAGAGCATTGTAACTTTACCGGAGCTTAAGGAAGTGTGTAACAGGCAGCACTGGCGAAGTGAGGAATGAAAGGAAATTCAGCTAAACGTTATAGTACTCGTAGTTAAATGGCAACCGAACTATTCCTATTACCGGTAAAGTAAGCGTTCTTCCATTTGCAAATGCGACACAAGCACATAAAACTCCAAGTACTTAACGCTATGCGACGTTCGCTATTTGGAACGCTATTTGCAAGTTGGAAGAAACTTAAGTAGAAAATTGCTGCTCGCATCTCAAATGAATATTTGCAGTGCTTCGGCACCAAACCCGGCAATGAATTTGCCATACAGAATTGAGCACTGTGCTTACCTTTGTTTGAACATAAATTTTAATACTGAATAAATTGTGCAAAATGCATAAATTATTTATTATTTGCATTTTATGAGCGTGTCTATTGCTCCTTGTAATGCGTATTTAAAATGTTACATCGTTTTAAGTTATTTCGTATAATTTCACAATACAATTGTGCTTTATTTGTTTAAGTTAATTTTGTCTATTTTTCCCTCTACTATTTGTTACTATGATTATTATTATTATTATTATTTTCTATACTTTTTCTGCTGTTGAGGTAACTTCGTTGATGTTAGTTACTAGTCATACAAAAATTATCTAGAATTTGCGCAGTACCAGGAATTTCTTGCCAAAATGCCTTATGGCAAAACCAAAGAACATTTGCCTAAAAGCCAACAAAGATGAACTACCATAGATATACACTCGTCTATGTATGTTTACGTATAGATACAAAATAAATGCAAAAACATTTATAAACAAATGTACCTTCTTACATACTCTAAACAGCAGTTCACTCCATAACAACATCCAACATCTTCTGTGTTGTTAGTTGGATTTATTCCAAAAAAAAAATATATATATAACAAAAAAGTAGTAGAATCGGAATAGAAAAGGAGAAAATGAAGTTATTGCTGCTGATGGCACCAAAAGATAGACACGTCTTTGTATTACTGCTCTCCTTTGTGTACCACAATTTATAGTTACTTGCAGTCTTAGTTGCTTTCATACACATTACGTATCTCAACAGAGCATTTGTATATCCTTGCACTATTTTTAAGTATTTGTTTTAGTCTTCGACTTATGTTGTTAAAAATTTACTTAAAGTATATTTTTCCTTTTGTTATTGTTGTTATTGTTGCTTTTGTTGTTATTGTTGCTTTTGTTGGTTTTGTAGTCTTTGTTGTTATTTTATTTAGTCTCTTCGGTGTAGAGAATGTAAGCGGAAGACAAGTACAAAATGCCTGAACCATTTTCATTTCTATGGTTGATAATTTTTTGGCAACAGATTTTCTGCTTATTTGTCTCAAAACTCATTTCATTTAATAGACTTTTCTACTGACTGAGTGGCAGGATAATCATTTTATCATAAAGTCGTTAAAGTTGTTTTTTCAACAATTCCAACAATGGTTATTTTGTTGTTATTGCAGTTGTAATATTATTTTAGTATTTTATTTAAGAATGTGGTTTGTGGCAAAAATAGTCTGTCCGCTTCATTATAATAACTTATAGAGGTTTTCCAATGTATATATACTTACAGTAATAATGATATTATTATATTATAACCTTTAAATTCAACATAATGTAGGGTATTTAGCCTAACATTTACTATTTGGTTTACTAACATAGGTCTAGGTATTAAAGGATATATTTGATATTTACTGTATTTACCGATTCGGTATTAATAAAGAAACACTCCTCCTTCTTTAACCTTATACAATCACATTTTCTTGATAGTAAGCTGATAGATATTCGACTCCAGATATGTTCAGCTATTTTAATCGATAACATTATGGCTTATTAAAGTAGCCATAATGTTATCGATTCTTTATTAATAAAGAAACACTCCTCCTTCTTTAACCTTATACAATCACATTTTCTTGGTAGTAAGCTGATAGATATTCGACTCCAGATATGTTCAGCTATTTTAATCGATAACATTATGGCTTATTAAAGTAGCTGGACCCCGTAGTCGGACGCTTTGTGCTTCCAACGTAGAGTCTCTCTGTTTATTTTGTTAAGTGAATGTGCCAGCGTTTAACCAATCCTCTTTTTTTTATTCTTTATTATGATTATTACACATTCGTGTCCAGTATTAAACTATTGAGTAATGGATTATAATAGAAACCAGACATGTCTACCAATATACTCCTGTTTTTCAATGGTTTGCCTGCTTTCCAAGTTTTTTCTCTTGTCTTTCCATTGGTTTGTCTGTCTTCCTTTTTATTATATTGTCTTATCATTGGTTTACTATCTTTTACTTTTATTTTCTTTCCTTATAATAGAAACCATAATATTCTTCATCATCAAAAGAA